GGGAAATATGAGGGAAATTACATGACAATTTGATTATTTACCCATCCTGCACTTGGGGAGAACAGAAACAGTTTACTGTCCCTTAGGAGCTCGTAATAAACAAATGTCCACTCTGAGAAGCACTTAGTTCACATAGACTTCAGGGCGACCAAAGAAGTTAGTGGATTGATAAACAAATAGGCAGTGTCCGAAAAAGCTAGACAGCTAACTTGTTGCCTCACTGCCCTATCAGCCAATGACTTTGCAGGCAGCTTTTGCACCGAAAAGAACCCGATTTCAGACAGACTTCTGAGGCAGCGTTTTAATGATATACAGCAAAATAGAGAAAAGGTGAGAAAACTAAGCGAATCTTTAATAACTACAATAGTAATTTATCGCTAGAAATGGCACTGAACTTGGAAAACGTTGCTCAAAAACATACATTCACACACAAACTGACCTTCAGATGCCATCTTTATTTTTTAGCTCAACTGTCATAGAATGGAAAGCATGGGATTGTGGGATATCAAAAGCAGCGAAGGAAACATCTTCTACGCTGCCTTCAAAAATCGAATCACACACGTTAATTCTGACCAATCGAAGTGTAGTTATGGAAATACGTGGATGTTGTCACGTGACTATATTTTGGTTCGTTTCATCAACTCATTAACTGAAAACCAAAACCCCTGAAAAATGCACCAAAGTATAATTGGTCCAGACCAAATGAACCGAACTACAGATGTGAAAGCACCCTTGGAGACTGGAACTGTGAAGGTAACATTGGATTCACACAGCCTTGATGCCTTCCTACCTTGGAATACGTCCTCCAAAGGCAACGTTTTTCAGTTTTCGGATGCAGCCGGCCCAGACTTTACTACGCGCTTCAGAATAACAAGTTGTGTGAATTTCTCAGCATGTCAGACAGTAGTGTAATACCCTCTAACCAAAGCATCTCGGTGAAATGACACTTGAAATTGTGCATTCGCACAGCGCTTTCCAAATTATTATCCAAAAGGCAAAAAGCTTGCTGTGGTTCCCATCAGAAACGAGCAAGCGTGAATGGAGGGTCTCCAAAACATCATAAAGAGAGCAGTGAACCTTACGCACTTTATTTCCCTCAGTGAATAGGGCCAGTATTCATTACAGGCCATCTTGTTTTTCATTTCCAAAATAGCTGACACATGCCAACCATCCTGCTGCTTGAATGAGTCGCCTATGGGACAGACGCAACACCTGACCAGCTCGGAAAATCAAAGACACGGTCTCAAAATGTAAAACAAGGGGTCAATCTAACAATGGATGCTCTGTAAATGCAACCTGCCATGCTTTATTGCATTATATTGACTATATCTAAGGCAAATACGGTGAAATACAGAATCATGGCAGTCAAATATAGATAATGCTGACTATTTTAAACAATTTGGTCTGGCATACAATACATATATTTCTTAAAATAAATTATATATATATATATATATATATATATATATAAAATATATTTTTAATGCTACAAGTGCATTTAGGCATGACCACATTATAGTGTAGGCCAAAATAGTGTGGAAAATGTATATTTATTTTGATATTAGTTAAAGGTGTTATTACATTATTATGTAAAATAAAAATTAGCTGATAATATTAATAGTACCGACGTATTGAGAATTCTTTATTACAATATGTCCACACGATATAAATCAACACATCAAATTATTACCTACACTACCAACAGTATATAGTATACATAATATACAGTAGATACATGTAACCAAATTCCTAAGCCTATAAAATAGGCTAAGAAATAATCCTTACTACCCCCACATTAAACTAAACACTTCAATACTGACCTGCAAGTTCAGAGCCCAAACTGTCAGTTATGTCCCAGGCCAGCGCAGACCCCAAAATAATCCAATCCAATTACCAACATGTCCATCAAGTGCGGCCCCAGGCAAGGTCATGACCCTTTCAAGATATTCAAAATCCCTCATTGTGAAGACATCTTTATGGAAGCTGTCTCTAGACCTCATAACTGGAAATGATGTGAAAACGAGCCATCAAGATGTTTTTTTCTTGATTCAAATGCATAAAAACTCAAGTAGAATGAAACATGGGGGTCAGCCTCTTAACGTCGCTGTTGTTTAGTAATTGCCATTTAAGGTGACAAGCTTGACTTCAGATAGAAAAAAAAAATGAATTCCTACTATAGCAGACCACTACTCCCTAAGGAGGGATCTCAAGGTTCTTGCTATTCTTGCATGGGAAAGTCGACTCAATGCCAGAAGCTGCCAGTTTGCTCGAGGAACAATTCTAAGAACGAGTGACAAAGAAAGTCACCCTCACATCAGCGCATGTGAATAAAGCAGATGTTTTGTAACGAGACGAAATATTGCACTGTGATAAAGGGTCCGTGGTTTCCCGACCCTTCCTGTGAAAAGCTTTGAGAAACGAGCTTTGCCACGTACTGCAGAGACAATACAGCCATAAACTGAAAGGATCTAAATCACTTTCAATCACACCAGAGCAACTGATTCCCAACCAGTTCTTTTACGCTCTGCTTCAGCCCCACCCAGTTCACTACCAACAATTACTACTTTGAAGATGTGCGCTGAAGCAAAACACTAATCACCCAGATACCCAGAATGTTCATTTCCTACGCACACCAGAGTAAACAATGCTCAAGAGTCACTTGTGAATGGAAATTAGGAGTGTTTCTTCATTTAAATGGACGTCTGAAGTGCCTCATGTACGATTTAGGAATAAATAAGTGGCTGTGGAACAAACATAATGATATGTGAAGATAAGTGTTGCTTTAACATACGAAGAGTTCAGATGCAAAAGCATCTAAGTGCCATTCGAAATTTTCTTCTAGAATGATCATTTTTATCAAGCTTGCATATTTAAGTTCAGTGATTTCACTTAAATGGCAATGATAATTACCTATTAATTGTTATTTAAGTGAAATTACTGAACTTAAATTTCAAATGGCATTTAGAGGCTTTTGCATCTGAACTCTTCACACATAACAAGTATAAGACTGGGCAATATATTGAATATTTACAATAGACTCTAAAAAAGGCTGGGTTGTTTTAACCCAATTTTGGGTCAAATATGGACAAACCCAGCAGTTGGGTTAAATTCATTAATTGCATTTTTTAATCCAACATTTGGGTTTGTCCATATTTGATGCAAAATTGGGTTAAAACAACCCAGCCTTTTTTAGAGTGTACATTCGATTTTGTTTTGTTGGTGATACAAATTGAAAAATCAGCATAGTGACTATGGCGTCTTTCACTGAAAATGAAAAATTCTGTCATCATTTACTCATCCTCATATTGTACCAAAATTGGATTGGATTGGATATGGATTTCTGCAACACAAAAGAATATATTTTGAAGAAAGTCGGTGACCAAACAGTTCCTGGACCCCGTTGACTTCCATAGTGTAGAGAAACAATACTATGGAAGTCAATAGGGTCCAAACAACAGACAGTTGTAACAACTCGAGGGTGAGTAAATAATGACATCTTTTTTATTTTTGGGTGAATTATCCCTTAAAGACACCTATGTGCCAATAAAAAGTATTTAAATAATGCTATATACTGTATATGCACATTTATACTGTCAGCAGTCTACAAAGTAGAAGTAATGTTTGTTCTTTGCACTCTCTTATATTCAGCTTCCTGTTCAATTAGTGTCCTTTCCTGCATTTAGCTGAATTTCAGGCGATAACGGCAAAAGCACTGCGCTATGACTCACATGTTAGTGTGTTACTAACCTTATTTACATAATATCCGCTGATGTGAGCCACCAAAAGACACAAAGGGGTCTTTTCAAGGATGCTACATGCGTGTTTAAAGGTTAACTTTTTCTCTGTAAAAGTGCAACCGTTTTGGCAGTGGTCTTTTTTCAGATCTTTAATAAGGTCACTCTACGGAAAGATTCCACGCCTGAGACGGATTTGTAAAGCGCCACACTTTCGGAACGATGACAACAATGTAAGACTGACACATAGTTTGTAAGTCTCCAATGATTGGGAGAGTAACACCCCCGCTCAGATCTGGTGTTCCTACTGTTCAAGGTCCAAAGCTGCGGGAAGGGGAGACCTGGAGGCCAAAAGCACTGGTCACACACTGGCAGCTCTCAGAGTTACTCTCCTACCCAGCTGGGGTCAAGGACCCTCCATCACCCCGCCAAACAAAAGGAGAGATTCCTACAGTCCCTGGACAACATGGCACAGACACAATGGGAGGCTGGAAACACCCCCCCACCACCACATACACACAACCACCCCTCCATCCTCTCCTTATTAAGGAACTCTCAAGCAAAGAGAAGGATTAGTGCACTGGATCTGATCCAAACGGACCCAAACGGCACTGCCTTGGGAATGCAAGAGTGATCAACCCGATAATCTTCATTCACTCCTCTATTTTAAAACATTTCTTGCGGTTTTAAAACACTTCACTTTAGATTACAGAGTATAGAGGAAAGGCTATTTATTACTGAATATATATATATATATATATGTGTGTGTGTGTGTGTGTGTGTGTGTGTGTGTCTATAACCACCCCCAAACTCATGCCATTGGTTAAGGCAATATTGTATGAATATATGTATGTGTATAAACATACATACATACATACATACATGCATATACATGCATTTATATATATATATATATATGTATTTATTTTTATATGTTGTTTATGTATATTTTTCCATTTAAATTAAATAACATAATGTATTAAAAATGGCTCAAATGTCAATTCTTTGCTTCAAACGAAATGCAAATAAACTAACCTGTCTAAATAAAGACAGAATCATTTCCGACTATCTTTGTTTGAGATTGCTGGCATTGTTGAATGAACTAACATTTGTGGCAAATAAACTCCCTTGGCTCGACGCTATCCAAAAAAGATAACGAGAGGTTAGTGGCCCTGAAACCAAGTCTAAAGTTGACCCCACAGCAGGTTGAAACTCTGACAGCAACAACAAGCTCTTTTCATCAACACTGTGCGATCTCACGCTTACCTTTGGTGTTAAAAGCTTCCTTGAGGTGGAGCAGCACATCTGCAAACCTCCGCACTTCGTTGACCAGCTGCATGATGTAGTCGGGATCTGCACCCGCCATGTCCATGCTGTCCGATCCCGAGCTGACGGAGCTCAGAGAGCCGCTCTTCGCAGATCGGCCCAAACCCCACGACCCCGAACCCGAACCCGAGGAGAGGGGGAAAAAGTGGGAGCTGGGAAGCCGAGCCATTCCCAGCGATCGCTTGTTCAGTCCTCCGCTGCTCTGCTGCAGCATCCCAGCAGCAAACATCCCAGCCGCAGCCAGTTTGAAAGGATCCCAGTGCGACGTTCCCAGGAGACTCTCAGATTCCAAGAGTTTCCTCACTGACTGTCGGTCCTGTGAGCACAACAGAGACAACGTATGGTTAACCCACTAATGTTTGAAGACAAGAACACTTCTATTTGCAGGACTTTACCACACATAGACAGGGGAGAAATTTAAGCTGTGCTCTAATAGGGATGTCTTACACACCAAATTGGTTTAGACTTCACTGAGTCTCAAAAGTGATTTACATCTCAAATAAAGAAACCTTCAAACAGGCTAAAGGTGATATGGTCGGGTATACTTTGAAATGGGGATATTAGTTACAAGCAAACCAGGAATTTCAAAGGCATATTTTGACTGTGACCTGAGGCTTAGGAAAAGCTTGGGTAAAGTCTGAGTCTAAATATGTCTCCATCAAGCTTTTTTTTTTACATAAGACTTGCATTCTTTAATAGAGATTTTTATCATTTAAAAATGCAGCTAAAAACAATCCAATGTTTTTTCTTTGCTCAAGATAAAGGCATTGAGTTTGAGGAAAGCCAAACCACTAACCTCACAGACTAAAGATGAAGTAACATCTCACTTTGTCTTTGTTTAGGATTTCTGTCATTTTAGAAAGAACTCACACTGTGGATTGTAAATAAAACCGTCCCTTGCCCAAATATCTATCTATGACAAGTTATTTTGTTAGAAAGTCCAATAGATTTAGGAAAATAACAATTAGAACTTCACAGAAACATATTTACTATAACATTTACCCAGACTTTTTTTTGTAAGTTGAATTAAAATAACAAAAAAACAAAAAAAGAAATGAAAATTCTACTTTTCATTTTTTTTTCTAAGAACTCTTTCTATTTATGTGAACAGTTTGCAATTGTTTTACGAAAGAATCACTGTCCCACATTCACAACAATTGTTTTAGAAAACAACTGATTTTATCCACACAGAAAAAAAGGTTTCTATTGGGTCATGGTGTAAATAAGGAGCAGAATTACGGTTTAAAGAAGTAGAAAGTCGATTCATGTCATTACTTAACATGTCAGTATTTAAGAATTTCAATTTAGAAACAATTTTTCTTTTCAGAGAAATATGAGTGCTAGAAACCATGTTGTGTTGGCAAGTCGAAAACATTTAACATCACTCACAAAGTATGACAATTCCACACATTATACAAAAATCCTTAAGTGCCACTATTTGACGATTTAAAATAACATAGCCTATATTTACTAAAATAAACTGTTAGAATGGTGCATTAAAGAATTAAACAATCACAGTAAACGTAGTATAAATTCTTACAAAGATTGCGCTCAATGTCAAACGACACGTGAAGTCCATTCCCAAACTACCAAAGACCACATTCCTCAAAAAGGTAAGTTAGCATAAGGGGGAAAGTTTACACAAATCCGAGGTCATAAAGTTTTTGTAACTTTTCTGTGTTGGTGGTAATGCGATATTGCTCACCTCAAATACTAATTAAAATACGTATTTCACACATAGCGGTAGTTCTTCATCATTTTATTAACGGAGTAGACTATTTATTGATCAAAATCCCACCAGTCAAGCAATTCCGTTATATTTCAAATATGAAAATAGAAAATGCATACTTACTGAAGGAGCATATCTCGATCGTTGCACACAGATACATGTATACTGGAAGCCCACATATATCCGAAATGCCGTTAAATCCCCGGTTTGCTCTACAATCTCAGTCCCGTAAACCGAAATAATGCGGTCTATGCGAGCATCACGTTCTGCTTGCTTCGCCCCGCCCTCTAACGACCATCTGACTCATGATTGGCCCTGGTGGATTGAGAGGCGTGGCCTCAGTCTCCACCTACTAACAACAGGTGTACTTGCACTCTGGATAATATATTGACAGACATGACTTATTTTCTTTCAATATATATATATATATGAAAAAAAATCCTTAAGATTAATATTCCTGAATTTGCTGCTTATTATTTATATTTCAGGCCATCCAGAATAACTAGTGAGCTTAACATCTGTGCTCAGGAATATAAATTGACTCCACCAAAGGGAAGGGTGATTTGTAAAGGGATTTGATCCATCTAGTGGCTACTTTTTTGTGTTACGCTCATGTAACCAAATATTAGAATACATGGGACACAGAGCTAAGTTTAAGCATTTATTTAGCATGGGAAAAACGTTGATTATCCATTTTAATATTAGGTGCATATCAGTGTTATTTTAGTGTCATTTTTTGTCAGTTAATCCTGATTTTATTTCAAGTAATTCATTTTTTTCAGCTTTAGTTCATGAAAATGTCTACCTTTCCAAAACATTCCTGCAACTTTGTTCACAAATATTGGGTATTGTCACTTTAAATGATTTCCCTGCCAGCATCAGAAGTATGTACTACTCCCTTATTTATAGTCAATAACACTAATACTCTCATTCCCCCAGCAGATATAGTGGCAGTGGTTTACAGAAAGCACCATCATTTGAAGTCAACCAGTCAATCCGGTCTGAGCTAGTTTCACGGAACATGGAAACATGGACTTTGCAAGTTTACAATAAATAATCTTTTATGCAGAAATAAACCATTATAGTAGATGTTGGCTATGTGGCAAAGCAATGGTGCAGCCATAACTGACATAATTGCTTTCTCAGGGGGAAAAAAAATATATTCACTACCTGCCCCCCTCTGTTCAAGCCAATGATCCATCAGTACAGACAGCATTCAAGCTGCAAGCAATGAATCATGCAGAAAACAGACCGACAGTTGCATAACCAAGGTGGAAAAAACATAATATTCCTACAACATCAGACGATTTGAAGAAATCTAACCATCTTTGAGTGTTAAGAATGATTTACATCATTAGTCTTTGTCTAGCTCAAGCTACTAAATAACCCTGAAGGTTTAATAATAGTTAATAATTAATAACTGGCCATTTAGGAAGTAAAATAATTGCAAATTCCAGTTGGTGGTTTTTGGTGGCATGTATTACATGAAGTGATGGGTTCTTTTTCTCTTCGTAGGGTCCACAGTTATAGCAAATTAGGTTGATTCCTATGTGAGTTAAATGGATAGTTCACCCAAAAATGAAAATTGTGTCATCAATCACCCTCAAGTTGTTCCAAACATGTATGAAGTTCAACAGAATCGTTGGGTGAACCATCCCCTTAAACTCTTAAAATTTTTATTCATTTATGATTTTAAATATTAATAGATATAAATTCAGCCTATTAATAATGCACTTAATCTTAATTTATGAGTCAAAGGTGTACATTTTAGGTTATATTTATTTGAGCCTACAGAATTGTAAACTAAACGGCGCCCTCTAGTTGTCTTTCCGTAACATTTCATTTCCCCCCTCCCTCCAACGTAATTTAGTCAATTGTAAGGTCCTTAAAGAAGTGTATAACATAAAATGGAGAAGGTAAATGTTCATTTCCGCGAATCGGTTCGTTCAGTTCAAAGAACCGGCTAGAAATAATTTAACTATTATTTAGGGCCTAAATGTAATTTGAATATAATGGCATAGTAAAACAATCACCTTAACCTCATAAAACATAAACATTTATCATAGAACATTTATACCTCGCTACATTATTCAAAAGATTCGGTTTACTCCAGACGGTTCACTCATCTGTTCTCGGCTCATCAAAAAGGATGGATTCAATCAATTCACTGAAAAGATCTTACTCGCAAGAATGATTCGTTCATGAAACAGAAACAGAAAGAGTAGCATTACAACGTGTCATGTGCGATACTTGGATAATTATTGTTAATATATAAAGTAGCTAAATCAAACGATATACTTTCGTACATTCCATCCTGATTATTGAGCTAGGAGGATTTGTTGACCGCACGCCGTCCAGGACCTTTACAATAGTCAGTCACATAGCTTAGATTTTGATCCATTTGGCCGCAACAGCAACAACACCGGGAGATGTGTCAGGCAAACGTGCTTCACGGGACCGCGGTGGGGTTCTGACCCGCTGTTGAATCCAGCTTAGCGGTTGTAATAACGGTTGCTTTCAGCGGGGGAGTTTGACATGTCTGTCGCAGTGGCCGGTGGAGGGGCGCAGTCTGCGGGGCTGGGCTCTGCCGCCGCGGGCTGCTGCTCCTCCTCGTCGGGCGCCGGTTCTGCCGCATTATTAAGCGGAGGATCGAGCATCGCGGGCCGGTTACCCAGCCGAGTTCTCGAGCATATGTTCTCCTATCTGGAGCTGCCGGATCTCATGAACTGCTCGCTCGTTTGCTGGCACTGGTACAACTGTCTGGCGGATGAAAACAGCGAGGTGTGGCGAAGTCTGTGCGCCCGCTTGCTCAGTGAAGAAGCGCTGCGCTCGGATGTCCTCTGCAACCTGACTTCATATAAAGGAAAAGTAAGATTGTTCAAGTAATTCATCTTCATATGCTATTCATTTATATAATCGACACTGTAATGCGTATGATCATGCGAAATGGTACTTTTAGTAAATAAACTAGTATTTGCGTAGTACATGATAATCATTATTATTTTTTTGCTTTTACTTTTCAAATAATACCCATAAACTTTAATTCTTAATTTTGTATTTCTTGAACACAGTTATGTTTTGTAGGTGACCGTCAGAACGGTGCAAATGTATGACGTCATTTGTAAATATTGGACAGTTACATCAATAGGTTGCATTCAAATGATGGATGCATGCATATCAAAGCTAAGACTTCTCATCAGCAAAAAGCATGGTACCAGCATTGTGTTTTAGACATGATACTGTCATGTTTATTAATCTATTACCTATTTGTAACTTATTTGACCTGTTCTTGCAATTGGGAATAAATACTGATGTGGCATAAAACCACTAAATAAACCATACTATACTTTTTAAAACATATAGATGATAGTTGATATATAGTTACCATTGTATCACCGACCGTCTCATTCTAGAGAAGATTGTATTTGACAATAGTTTGAAGTGACTTTCTTTCTTTTATCCTCAGCTGAAGTCCTTCCAGCATGCGCTGAGTTCCCATGACTGCTCCAGGAATGTATATATAAAGAAAAACGGGTTTACTCTGCACCGCAACCCCATCGCCCAAAGCACTGACGGTGCCCGTGGGAAGATCGGCTTCTCGGAGGGCCGGCATGCCTGGGAGATCTGGTGGGAGGGTCCTCTTGGCACGGTGGCGGTGATCGGCATCGCGACCAAGAGGGCTCCCATGCAGTGCCAGGGCTATGTGGCACTTCTAGGCAGCGATGACCAGAGCTGGGGTTGGAATCTAGTAGACAATAACCTGCTTCACAATGGAGAGGTCAACGGCAACTTCCCCCAGTGCAACAACGCTCCAAAATACCAGGTAGTGGAGCTTGAGAATGTACTATATATAAAAAATCATGCTTTTCCAAACTTAAAGGGATAGTTCACCTAAAAATGGAAATTCTGTCCTTTACTCACCTTCATGTCGTTTAACACCTTATGACTCTTTCTACTGCGAAACACTCAAGAGGTGTGTAAGTGTGTATACTGAAAATTGCAAAGAAAAAGTGCACTTCAGAGTGCATGCATATGTATGAATTAGTTTTACATTACCTTTTGTCGTTTTTGGTTTATTGAAGGTCGTTGGCTTTCACAATATGGACAACAGCTTCATGCATCTTATTTAGTGTTTTACCTGAAGAAAGAAAGCTAAATGAGTGGAATGACATGAAGAAGTTGAATAAATTATGACAGAATTTCCATTTTGGGGGGACCTGTTCATTTAGAGAAATTATGCACCTCAAAAAAGATTTTTTGTCATTGTTTTCTCACTCTCATCTTCTAAACCTGCTATTTTTGCGGTAATTTTTTTCTGTGAAAAGCACATTTTGAAGAATCATTGTTCAGTTCATAGTACAATATCTACGGTGACCACAGCTGTCCATGTCAAGCTCCGAAAACAACAAAAACAAAACACCATAAAAACAGTTGGAATATGACTTGTGTGCTACTTTCCAAGTCTTTATCGGTTGCTTTTGAGGAGCAGGTTGTAACTTAAGTCAATATTCACTTAAAATCTCTGCCAAAACTAAAAAAAAAAAAAAAAATCAAATGTTGCTTGTACAAAGCTATTGTATTGCTGCAGAAGACAGAATACAGCACATAAGTCATACAGACAACTTTACAGACAACATAAAAACATTTTCTTTTGTATTTTGGAGGCAAACATAACAGTATGCAGGTTTGGAAAAACGGGAGGGAGAGGAATGCTGGGTACACACCAAAAGATTTTTTACATCTTATAAGATTTTCAAAATGTGATAAGACCACAAACATGAGGACAAAAAATCTAAGATTGAACAGTCTCGACTGTGAACACAGGAAGTCTCGGGAGACTTAAGAATAAGCATGGCGGACGATATGCAAGAAAAAAAAATGCGATGATAGTGTTTGGAAAGATTTTCACAGAAAATTCACGGGGGAGGGGGGGGAGAAAAGGGTTTGGGTGTAGTCGTGGAAATGGCGGGAATTTAGTGAACTTCTCAGATAAAGGTTGTGGTAATGCACACGCTGGCCCTGTCTCTCTCTCCTTTTGAAAATTTACCATGGTTTTACAACAAATAAAAAATAAAATACATGGTTATTGTAGTTAAACCATGATATGATAACCATAAATTAACCATAGTATTCCAAAAAATAATTCTAACTATAGCATTTATTAGGTTATACAAATGTTTAATACGCCTATAATAAATGTAAACCATGGGTAATTCTCTCTCTCTCTCTCACACACACACACACAGTTTTTATACTGAGCTAATTGCATTTTCTGAGCCACAAATAAACAAGCTGATCCTCCATCTCTGGTAACCAAAGATTTCACTTTGTGCTGCACCATGACTGCGTTTGTGATGTTTCCGTCTTCCATCATCTCGCTTTCTGATTGGATATTGTTTAGTTTAATGTGATAATCTCCAGAGAGCACACGCATTTGTTTTCGGGGTTCCCCCCCACACATCAGGATTTGTGATCGTAAATATTTAACATGTTGAATATTTACGATTCACGATCGGGCAGCTCCGATCTTCTTCCGAGCAGGTTCGGACACTCTTAACACACCTCGCACCAAGGGAATATCTGATAAGATAATCTGTAGAACCATCAAGATAATCGGGGCATAGCTACTTTAGCTAGGATTGTGGGAAGGGGGGAAATCGGCCCAAAATCAGCTTGATTATCTTTTGGTGTGTACCCAACATAAATAATGTCAGTTTTAGGGATGCGCCGATATGAAAATTTTGGCCAATACCGAAAACCGATAATTATATATATTTGGAAGCAGATAACTGCTAAATATAAATCCAAATTTCAATCCACAATTCAAAACCATCATGACGAACAGTGCATCTGAAGTGTCTCAGCTGAAGGAAATAATCCATTATTTATCGGCTTCAATATATTGGTAAAAAATGTAACGTATCAGCCGATACCGATATGGATATTGTTTCGTTTCATGTGATAATCTCCAGAGTGATAATAACCGATAATTTCATGTGATGATAACCGATAATTCTTTATATTTGAAAGCAGATAACAATATATTTGCGGATAAATATAAATCCAAATTTCAATACACAATTCAAAACCATCATGGTGAACAGTACATCTGAAGTGTCTCAGATAAATAAAGGAAATAATCCCTTATTTGATACCGATATGGATATTGTTTCGTTTCATGTGATAATCTCCAGAGTGATAATAACCGATAATTTCATGTGATGATAACCGATAATTCTTTATATTTGAAAGCAGATAACAATATATTTGCGGATAAATATAAATCCAAATTTCAATACACAATTCAAAACCATCATGGTGAACAGTACATCTGAAGTGTCTCAGATAAATAAAGGAAATAATCCATTATTTATCAGCTTTAATATATTGGTAAAAAATTTTACATATATCAGCCGATACCGATATGGTGGCTCATATATCATGCATCACTTGAACCTTTCCTTGAAAAGTCAGCATGAAACGGAAGCCTTCCATATATCTAAGTGAAAAGGCTTCTGAACAAGAAGGGCAGGACTTTATTTTGTCCATAAGGAATTAATTGGGTCTTTGGATCATTGTGGTTTGTTGTCCCGCCCTCACGCCAGTAAACATCAACAAAGAGATGTGGCTGAGAGGGAGGGGAAGTTAATAAAATATTAAATAATGATGTGCAACTGATTAATTTTTTATAATAAATACTGCAATAAAGTCCAAGAAATTAGAATTGTACCTTGTCTATAATATGTTTGTATTTATTTTCCAGATAGGGGAGAGAATACGTGTAATCCTAGACATGGATGATAAGACACTAGCCTTTGAGCGAGGGTTTGAGTTCCTTGGAGTGGCTTTCCGGGGACTGCCCAAAACATGCCTCTTTCCAGCTGTTTCTGCTGTCTATGGGAACACTGAAGTGACTATGGTGTATCTGGGAAGACCTCTGGATGGATAAGTAGGATCTCAGTGTCACTATTACAACCGGAGAGCACCGTGGGAACTGCTGCTTGTCACTAAAAAAAAAAAAAAAAAAAAAGGAAAATTTGTGGTTGGTGGCGGGGCTTGTTGATGGTGAGGATGTCCAACACACATCTGCGGATTTCAGCTGAACATTTATTAGTTTTTAATCCTTTTTTAAGACCTGGGACATTTTTTTAAAACCTGGTTTTAATCTAATTTATGAAATTGCACAGGGAGCAGCTGTTCTATTTTATGAAATAGGTAAAACAAAAAGATTAAGCCAAAATAGAAGAGACAAGTGACAAAGTTTTATAATTCATTACAAGCATTTTACACACGCATGGAATGAGAAGTTACTGTATGTATACAAGGACGGCTCAAGCTTTCACTTAAAAAAGCAAATTTACGTGTAGGTAAATATAACGAAGTAAACATGCCAAAACGACGTACCAATATCTTACCGTTCTGTTTTTTCCAGAGCAGTTATCTGCATGCAGTATACCAGTCTCTTCCTCTGTTTTTTTATTATTATTTTTAAAGACAGGCAAAGGTAGTGTGTTGTTATTTCGTTTGTTACTGTACATCTTAACTGTAATGTATAAGTGTATAGTATTTATTTATTAAGGTCCATCTTTGCAATAACCAAGGTTATGGAGACTGCAAATAAACTCTAAATTGTGCCAGACTGTGAACGTATCTCAGACTGTTTTGTTGTCACATGATTGATTGATCTGGTCTGGTGGTATATTAATGTATTATTATTATTATTGTATCTAGCCCATAGTTGTTCTCTTAACCACAAGGTGGCATCCTTCATCATGAGTTGCTTGACAAGGCCAAATAATGGTTGACAGTCACATCAGGTTTTTTTCTATAACAATGTTAATTTTTTATAGTGCAATCGGTCTAAAATGGAAGGAAAAGACAATTTCAGTCTTTGTTTAATTGTATCAGTGGTTCGTATATGGTGTTATTAACCACTACCTAAAATTATTGCTCAGAATTAAAGTCAGGATTTTGTGTAGTCTTAAATTTTGGTTTGTACACATCCACTGTTTGCACTATGAACTTGAATGATACCTCAAATAGTGCAGGTGTGAAATTTTATAAGCTGTCATAATTATTATTGTAGCAAGTGGACAATAAAAGATGCAATCTTTTCTTTTTTTTAATCCCAAGCCATATCAAGAAGGAACCAGAATATCATAGAACAGTGGATCTCAACCACAAGATGGCCTCAGCCAACAGCTAAAAAGTGAGAGATTTTTCTTATTTTAGTCAAAGCCATTTGAAGACAACCCTACAAGTTTAGCAAAAATGTTAGCATGGTTTGCAGGGAAGGAGACCAGATGCCTTTTTTTTTTTTTAAATCGATGTCCGTGGAGGAGAGGCTTCACTACGGTGAATAAACTGCTTTTGTAACAATTAATGAATTGAAACATATTTGCTCTTAAGCATTAGTTTAAGGTTGATCTATTTAAAAAAAAAAAAGCCTTTTTTTTTTTATAAAAGAAGCCAGACCATTGCGGGACAGCACTTCTCATTCATTTCTGTGGCTGTGTTCGAAATCACCCCCTATACCCTCATTCACTATTCCCTACATTACTCCACTTATATAGTCCACTTAAAGGAGTGAATTCAGACCGGAAGTGCTCCAGCTTTAAATAGTCTGTGCCTGCTGTTTAATAATCATTTGAAACTTAACAAACTGGCACCTCCAGTAGTAATGGAAAAATGTATCTTGAAGTCTGTCATGGAAACTAAACCAATTTAATAATCAATTGAAACAGAATTTATACCAGTATGATATAATTCAGCAATCCATCTCACGAGACACGCAAATTCATTTGGCGTGACTCTTGCAATGCATTATAGGTATTCTCCAGAGTCTAGACGTTTAGTGGACATTGGTTGTATGCTTGTTAATGAGGTGCATTGTGTGATTGAATTGGTGCACTTCAGTACATCTACTATGGTTTGGAACACCACTACAAATGGCTGTCCCCTCAAATAGTGCCCTATTTAAGGGTATAGGGGCCATTTCGGACACAGCCTGGCCCTAAGGTATCCGCAAACTGTCGCACAACTCTCTGAATGAAATTCAATTACGTGGCAGTAATGTGATTGGTTCATTTCTCGCTAATGTGAATCGCTACTTTTCTTAAAATGAATTGCAATTTTTTTTAAAGAATCGCTACTTTCATTTTCATTTTTTCATATTGTCATTTTTTTAAAAATAAATCGATACTTTTCCTCAAATGAATGAATCGATACTATTTTTTGGTTGTGAGAGTGGCCCATATATTAAAGTCCCCGTGAACCGGAAGTTGCAAACGATTTTTCTCCAGTGCTGTGACGTATTTCCAAGTGAAACGGAATATTGAACAGAGGGCAGGGTTTTACTCTAGCGCTCCTCCTCTCCATCTCTCGCTCATAGCAAACTAACGGTTTGAGGGGAGTGGTTAAGCGTTTCCCCACCCAAACTGTGAAACCTACGTCATCAGAAAAAGAAACCGTTCCAGACCGGAAGTAACTTTTCAGATTTTGATTAAAGATTACTAAGGTAAAACATATTTTTAATATATATTCACTTGCACGGATTAATTGTTCACCACAAGACTAGTAATATGCGCTAACAAAGTAAATAGGTTCAATTTTGATTTCACGGGGACTTTAAAGAACAAACCAACTCACCTGTTCTGGAAGAATTTGAATCTTGGCGGTTTCACAACTAACCAGGCCACAACTCTATCCCAGCTACACCCCATTAAACGTCCATACCCTATTTTTTACAGTCTGGGTCCAGACTCAGAGAGCTAAACATGTTGTGATGTTGTGGCCTAGCAATTGATTCTGTGATCGACGACACGGTTGACCGTTAGAAAATGGCGTGCGCGCCAACATCTCTGGAGCTGTTGAATGGGACATTTACGTATTATCAAAGTCAGTCTACGTCATATTAGACTTTCTCTGGTATTATTCGGTATTATTAAACCTACTAGCCTGACTTCGTCATACTCATATTCAAGAGAGAATGTTCAAAAAATATTGTGGGCGGAGTTCGGGCTGGCATCCAGGCTAAAACCTACGGCACCCTGCACTAAAAACCACTAGTGATGGTCTGGGAATGATTCTGGGAATCTTTTTTTTTATTATTATTATTATTTTTTTTACATTTTAATCTGCACTTAGAAGGCTGAACCACTACAATATTTACTGTCACTGGATGTGCAATAAGATGATAGCCAATGTAGTTTTCATTTTTGCTATGCTACTACATCGAGTTTAAAATGGGATGTGGTCAGGTATGAAAATCTTTCTGTAACGTTACATTGTGTAAACACCGAATCACTTCTAGGTTGATGCTATCAGCAGGTGGTGTATTTGGAAATGAAGCAATGTGCCACGTGTCAACATTTTCACACGTTTTTTTAATAGCACAACTTGTGACAAACAGCAGGCCTGCGACAGTTTCAACGCGCAGAAGTGATGGGCCTGCTCTGCATCAGCAGGAAGGGTGTGAGCTTCGGTGGTTTCCTCCTGAGTAGTATCTGATGAGTGAAACCAGTAGTGGGTGCTTTGGGTGTGTTCACTTGGTAGGTTTTGTGGTGTAGCCTACTGAAATAAGGTGAAATGTTTTTGCATCTTAGTTTAAAGTGCATCTCACGCACGATGGTTATCACTTCAATAATAATTAATCATGCATGTTATTTTTTTTTTATGTAAGAACCGATAAATATTGTCTATTTCATGCCCTTCAGCTACTACAGAAACTGAAATACTTTTACTGTTGTGGGATGTGGTCGATTGTTATACATGTAACGTGCACATTTCTGACCCTGCAGTGTGCGTGTGTGTGTGTGTGTGTGTGTGAAAAAATTATGATCTTGGCTGGCTTCATGTGACTGCGTTTCCGTTGCTTGCTTGCTTCCGCAATTACTAAAGACACTGCAGAGATGCAGATGTCAAGCACTTTGCATCTCCGAAGAGACCAAGCCAACTGAACCTCCCCGCAAACCGATGTAATGGTCTTCTGTGAACTTCACGCAGGAGCGGAGGGCGCGATCCTGGTCGCTGGGGTAAGTCAGTGTGTACATTATAGCCTACTCATAGTGTATGTGTCAATATAAAACTGACAGGCTAAATGTTTAATAGCGATTTGATTCAGTATGACTTTCAGTAGGTTATACACTCATTACAACCACAGGTAGTCGCCTGGATGACCTCTCGTATCTTACTCAAGCGCGCAATATTAACGTGTTTTGTGGTGATCGATCTAGGTCTAGTCGAACTGTTTGGAAGACATTGCGACTCAACTTTAAATGCATAGTGGCTCCAAAAGTATTTGGTCTCATAGATCACACATAAAAGGTCAAGATTTTCGATAATAAAATATCAAACCAACTGGCATACAAACAAATGACTTATCTCAACTGACCTTTTAGACTTCTGCACTTTTAACCAAATGATTCCAAGGTAATTTTAGTGTATTTATAATGTCAGTTGTCACATTCACACAAGTGTCATGTAAAGTAATTGGACTGGTCATATGGATATATATATATATATATATATATATATATATATATATATATATATATATATTAAATGAATGCCAGTTATGCAGTAACATTCATGCATTAAGTGTGATACAAGTAATACTTGGCGTATTTTTAGGGCCACTTTAAATCAATTGATGCTTTGATCCTGTGTCCGCACTCCGCAGCCTAACCAATCTGATTTATAACCTATAACATATTTGGAATTAGATTTTAGCCATGAATTTCCGTTTTCCGAGCCACATGTGGACCACTAGGTATTTTTAGTTTTTTTTTAGTTTTTTTGTTTTTGTTGTTGTTTTGAAATATTTTTTGAAAATGTCTAATAGAAACAATTTTAGTGTTTAAAAGATTTAAGATAACAATAACATTATATTATGTTATTTAAACATATTAAATTCAATATCACTGGAAATGTTTAATTTCAAGCAGATCAACACAATAATTGTTTTGTGAACATGTCAATAAACTCGTACATGGACACTGTAAGGTGTGATCAGAAAGTGTCTAGCCGTACTAACTTTGTTTTTCCATGTAAAAGTTTGTTGTGCTTTTTTTTTTTTTTTTTTTTTACTATTGTCTTATCTTAATTTTTTTTTTTTTACAATGATATCTTTTACCTATAAGAGAGAGTAAAGACATTTATATTACAAAATGTTTATATTTCAAATAAATGTTGTTCTTTTGGTCTTCCTATTCATCAAAGAATCCTAAAAAAATGTATAACAGTTTACATTTTTGTTTTTTCCACAAACATATTAAGCAGCACAACTGTTTTCAATTAATAATAATGTTTCTTGAGCAGTAAATCAGAATATTAATGATTCCTGAAGGGTCATATGACACTAAAGACTGGAGTAATGATGCTGAAACATCAGCTTTTACATTACAGGAATAAATTGCTTTTTAAAATATATATAATAATTCACACAATTACTGTTTACTGTATTTTTGATCAAATAAATGCTGCCTTGGTGAGCATATATATATATATATGTGTGTGTGTGTGTGTGTGTATTTTAAATTTGAGGATATATTTTTACATATATTTTAAATTTGAGACCGAATTTGCCCATCCCTATATATATATATATATATATATATATATATATATATGGATGTGTTTTTGTGTG